CTACCACTGAGCCACGCCCCCAGCCCCTCACTGGGGGATTCTAGGCAAGCCATCTACTGCTGAGCCATGCCCGTAGCCCTTGGTTTTGGGAAACGTAGTGTCCCAGTTTCCCTCCTCCTCACCCTCTTCTGCCCACATTATTGCAAATGCCTATGACTTACTTAGCACCTGGTCTAGGAGCATCCATGTCCCCAGCTAGCTGTGTGACTCAGGCAGATGAGGCTGGAGTAATGAAAAACCCAGTTTTGGCCCTTGGCTTTCCAGCTGTTCTGCATTTAACGAAGGCCAGACTTGGGAACAAGGATCTTTGAAGACTGTTCCTAGCCAGGTATCCCAGGACCAGGCAGCTGGTGGGGCTGATGTGGGCAGGGTTGGTGTGGCAGACTAGCCACCATCCTGGGAACTACTGTCTAGACCACATGAGGGTTTGTTTTCCCAGTAATCTTGTAAGAAACATAACTTCCAGATGTGGAACCAAGGCTGGTATATTACTTCATACTTCCGCAGATCCATCCTCTACAGAGATGCTTGGATTTCCTTGTAGAATCCAGGCTTTTCCTGCCACAGGGCCTTGACACATGTCCTACCCTCTACCCAGCTCTCTTCTCCTTTGTCCCTCCCTTATCTGCTTATTCATTCTTCAGGACTCTTGATGCTCAAGCCCTTGTTCTCTCTAGGACAAACACTGACCCCAAGGGACACCACGGACCGGCCCTACTCACACCAGAAGCCCTGCCAGGCTTCCCAACAGCGCCACCTTCAGGCAGGAGCCAGAACTGTCCCTTTGGAAATGAGACTGTGTTTGTAACGATATTGTCCTCACTGCCGTGGACACGTCCCACCTGAACCCCCTGCCGGACCAGGAGGCTCCCACAGACACGGCCTTCCACAGAGCGCGGTACAGCTGGGCCCAGCCATGGAGAACCTCTCTTTTCCCAAGGAGCTTCTTGAGTTTACAGAGGCTGAAGCGATCCAGTTGGGCCTCTCTTGGCTATAGCAGGCTGCCTCGAAGGCTTGTCTGGGCACCTGGGTACTCTCCCCCTCTCTTCCCTTCTGGCGTCCCCAGGTCCCCTGCAGGCCCCTGAGAGATGGAGCAGGGCCCCTGCTTGGACGCATAACACACCAAGAAGGGCTTCATTCTTTAGAAACTAGGGAGGGGACTCCACGTGATGAGACTGTTTTACACATTGGTACAAGGTCCCTTGGGCCTCTCTAACCAGGGAAGATTTGGGGGTGACAGGCTCCTTATTCCTCGACACCAAGCTAGTATGCGTTACCCACCTCCCGTCTGCTGCCCAGAAAGCATTGAGCAGACAGCTTCAGTATTAGGTGAGCACACAACCCATTCTTACCTTGACCTCGAGCCGGGACTGGCTTGGGGCTTAGAGCCAAGAACAGGTAGAAAACTCTTTAAACAGCGCATTCATACGGCGTTTTGCTGGGTGAGAAGAATCAAACTGGTTCCCTTTATTTTCTGGGAACCCCTGCCATGTTACTCCAAAGACCCCAGCAACCCACAGAGTGCTCTGCTTCTGTCTTCCCAGGGAGGGACCACATGAGGATTGGCCCAGGTGGCCTGTGTGAGCACCATTGGGCACCAGCAGGTGGCGCTCTTGTCCTTAGGGCGGAGCTGAATTAGCGGCCCCTCAGCCCAATCCCCTGCTCCCCGTTGGCTTTTGAGTAGCACTTGCAGTTAACAGCAGCAGCCTAAAGCTTAGAATTGACGCTTTAGTGGCCCAACGACAGAGCCAAATATCGCTCTTTCCAGCACAATCGGGCAGCTCACGGATTAGGAATTAACAGCCAAAGGCTCCCACAGTAGGGACCCAGAAGGGGCTGAGCCCCACCCTGGAGTGGGCTTGCACCTGGTAGGTGTGCAAGAAGCCATTTCCCCATAAGCACTGGCCTTTGATGGCCCCCTCAGCCTACCCGGTGTGGCCACCAGCTGTGGCTCAGCCATTCCCACCCCTCACCCTCCCCCCAGTGGAATTGTGGAAGTGTGGCAAGTCCATGTTCGGACAATAAAGCTTGTGATTGAGGTACAGGACTCCTGCTGTTGCCTGCTTCTGTCTTGGACATCTTAGGGACAGGAGGGGGGTCCGACCTTTGCTCTCAAGTACCAGCTAATTCCTACTGAAATGTGAGTGGTCAATGGAGACGGAGGGTGGGGGGGGCACATGCTTTAGAGAGGCAGGATTTATAGGAGATGGACTAAGTCCCTAAGGATTAGTCCCTAAGGACTTCCACATGTGCACACATGCACCTCAGTGCTCATGCATGTTCATGCAAACGCACATGCGCACACACGCGCACGAGCACACGCACACAAGCATACTTTTTTAAGTCTGTGGGTGTCATACATTTCTATTGCTGTAAACAACCAAAAGCAACTTGGGAAGGAAAGGGCTTCATTGTCTCAGTTTAGGTCCTGTCCTGGTTATTCTCTGCTGGGACAGAACAGTGTGACCAAGGCAACTTACAGAATAAATCGTTGAATGAGGCTTACGGTTTCCAAACACGAGTCTGTAACCTTCATGGCGAGGGGCATGACAAGCACGGTGCTCCTGGAGCAGTAGCTGACAGCTTACATCTTCGAAAGCAAGGGCTAACTGGGAATGGCATGGGCTTTTGAAACCTCAAAGCCCACCCCCAGTGACACCTCCACCAACAAGGCCACATCTAATCTTTCCCAAACAGTTCCAACAACTGGGGGACCAAAGATTCAAACATGACCCTATGGGGGCCATCCCCATTAGTATCCACCACGTTCTACTCCCTAGCCCCCGCAGGCTTGTAGCTATATTATAATTCAAAATGAATTCCGTCCAACACGGTTCACAGGGCTCTCCTGAGACTTCAAGGCAATCTCTTAATTGTAACCCCCTGTAAAACGTAATTATATATGTCCTATAAGCGACGGCGCAGAGAAATTACTAAACTAGACCTCTCCGTGGGTGGAAAGACTTATTGGGGAACAAACTGCCAAGGCTTTATCTTCGAGGGCTGGAGAAGCAGAAAGATGAACAACCTGGTGGAAAGTGAGTGGATTGAGAATCGACAGGGCGGGGATCTGAGCTGACACAGGCTGTTGGGATTCACCAGGAACTAGGTGCCCTTTCCGAGGTAGCTGACCTTGGTGGAAGGTTATGAGAGATTCCTGGAGGACTAAGGTTAGTCTCTGGTACACAGAAACCTGCCTTAAAGTTTGTTTGTCTTCTGGATAACAATCCTAATGCATTACAGTGATTACTAATAACCACAAGACAGAGTCCCTATTAGGCTGTCTTAAAATCTCCTCTGACAACACAATCCAAAACTCTTCCATTAAAGCCAAACATGGAGACATGGGCCTTGAATCCAGCACTCAGGAGGTAGAGACAGGAAGATCTCCGGAGTTTGAGGCCAGCCTGGTCTACAGAGTGAGTTCCAGGCTAGCCAGGGCTACACAGAGGAAACCCTGTCTCCAAAAACCAAAAAACAAAACCAAACTCTTCAGTTTAACCTCGGGGAGATTCCTAGGAAAAAGCAGCCACAGTCTTTGCTGAAATATCCCAAGAATGGTTCCTTAGTCCAGTTGCTAATGTTGTTCCCCTCTGAAATCTCCTGAGTTGGATATCTCCTCAGCTCTCTGCGTGACTGTCTCTTACGCTCTCCTAGGATGGTTTACTAAGCCTGGCTTACAGCATTCAATGTTTTTCTAGTCCAAAGTCCCAAGCCAGGGATCAAGCTGAGCTGAGACTCCCGAGGCAGCCTGGAGTGTTCTGTATATCTGTCCTTCACTCGCACACTGGGTGTCAGATGACAAGAGGGTGTGGGGCCCACTGCTTGGTGCCCATCGCTTTAAGGGCTCCAGGTGAGGGGGTGTCACACCCTTTCTTTGGTGTGCCTACTAAGACATATTTTCCTGATGTTTTCTATCACCCATGTGCCCATCGAGTCTTGATTCATCCTGAAGGGTGGCACCCTTATTAAATTTCATTTATTTATTTATTTATTTATTTATTTATTTATTTATTTATTTATTTATTTTTGCTTATTGAGACAGGGTCTACCTGTGTATCCTTTGGCTGTCCTGGTCCTCACCGTTACAGAGATAGATCCTCCTGCCTCTGCCTCCCAAGTGCTGGGATTGAAGGCATGTGCCACTGCACCCAGCTTTCTTTCTTTCTTTTTTCTTTCTTTTTTTTTTTTTTTTTTTTTTTGGTTTTTCGAGACAGGGTTTCTCTGTGTAGCCCTGGCTGTCCTGGAACTCACTCTGTAGACCAGGTTGGCTTTGAACTCAGAAATCCGCCTGCCTCTGTCTCCCAAGTGCTGGGATTAAAGGCGTGCGCCACCACTGCCCGGTGAGACTCACTATTTCTAAGTCTTGTGTTTATATGTGCATATGCATACCTTATACACGTGCCACCTCCCACTTTGTCCTCTTTACTGCCCCCACTCACTTTTCTCCTTCTGCTCCTTTCTCTCCTCTTCTCTCTCCTCCCTTCCTCTTCCCTCCTCTTCTCCCTCCCCAACCTCCCTCCTCTACTCCCGTCTATCTCCTCTCCCCCTCCTCTTCCTCTTCCTCCTTCATGGCACCCAGGCTGGCTTTAAATTTACTGTGTAAGCTGGTGCTAAGACCAGGCTGTGAGCCGGGCGGTGGTGGCGCATGCCTTTAATCCCAGCACTTGGGAGGCAGAGGCAGGCGGATTTCTGAGTTCGAGAGTTTGAGGCCAGCCTGGTCTACAGAGTGAGTCCAGGACAGCCAGGGCTACACAGAGAAACCCCGTCTCGAAAAACCAAAAAAAAAAAAAAAAAAAAAAAAAAAGAGTCTCGCCTGTAGTGCACAGAATTCACCACAAGGTGTCGCTCTCAGCTATTCACCTTCTGATTCAATGTCATCTCTACGACGCTCAGAAAGCGTAGACCTTGACTGGCAAGCCAGCCCAGGAAAGGGACAACAGAGATCTCCCTCCTGGCCCTAGAGTTCCCTGGTGGTCCCAAGAAGCCACCAGGCTTGGTTCAGACCTCTATGTGGGTATCCATCTGTCCATCCATCCATCTTAGCAACAGAATCCAGCTAGAGACACAGGATATTCAATCCATCTCCAGGACCCCTTTAGGCAAGACTTGATGCCCCTGGACTCAGATCCTCCTTCCTATACCCAGATTCCTGTCTGCCACTGAGAGCGACTCAAAATGTCTTTGCTGGGGTCCTTGCTGAATTGAGGATGCATAGTTCTGGCTCTTGTCTAGAAACCTGGACAAGATGTCCTGTCCTTTCTTTTAAGTGACAGTAGAGGGAAGAACTAGCTGTCTTCTATGCTGTCCTCAGAGCCTCTTCCCTGGCTCAGCAGCTGTCCTTCCCCCCGCCCCGCTAGACCACTTCACAGTGGATTTCCCAGACTGTTCGGCAAACCGGGGCATCTTCCTTTTTCTCTCACTGGGTCCACACGCCTGCCCTACGCTGTAGCCACCACCTTCCATTCTTCACCTCTGTCAAAACTCCAGTTGCCAACTCAACACACCTGGAAAGGGGAGAACCTCAGGTAAGGAATTGCCTCCATCAGACTGCCTGGTGAATGCGGAGGGGGGGTCATTTTCTTGGTTGTTGATTGATGTGTAAGGTCCCAGCCCACTATGGGCAGTACCATTCCTGCCTGGTGAATGCGGAGGGGGGGTCATTTTCTTGGTTGTTGATTGATGTGTAAGGTCCCAGCCCACTATGGGCAGTACCATTCCTACACAGGGAGGTCTGGCTATACAGGAAAGGTAGCTGAACAGGCCAAGAGCCAGTACTGCCTGCTTCAATTGGCCCCTGCTTCGATTCCTGCCTTGAGCTTCTGCCCCAGCTTCCCTTAATGATAGACTGTAACTTGTAAGTCAAATAAACCCTTTCCATCCCAATTTGATTTTGGCCAGTGTTTTATATATATATATATATATATATATATATATATATATATATATATAT